GTCTTCAGGTCATTTGTTAGGGAGATATATGATGGGCAATTGTTGATAAAACTCAAAAGAGGATTTGATTTTCCTGCCTTGGATCCATGGGTGTGTGGTTTTAACGAATCTTGTAAATGTTTATCTTGGCCAAGTATTCTTATTGGTTTTATATCTTTCAGGGAACGAGTGATCCCTATGTGGTGATGGATTTGGATGGTCAGGTTGCTAAAAGCAAAACCAAATGGGGGCAAGTTGCTTTATGCTTACTTGCATTTTCATTTCTGCGTCACTCGTGTTTATGTTTTAAATTTGGAGGAATTCATTTCTTAGCAAGATTTAGTCATTTAATTATCTAGCCTGATCATAGTACAAGTGTTCTGATCACTCTTAACCAGTACTGGTTTCCATTTAGATATGATATACAGATGGCTTCTGGATCAAACTTTACTTTTTCACTTGATAAATACTTGTGCAGATGTCATACACCACAATTTCGTTTAGATTCATAAGTTTTACTCTTGAGTTTCAAAGCAGACACAGTTACTGGTATAAGTGATAGACTTGTTCTTAATGTATGACTTTATTGACAGGACAAAAGAGCCAAAATGGAATGAAGACTATGTTTTTAATATCAAACTGCCCCCGGCAAAAAAGATACAGGTACAATATTTGTCTCAAGTATTATTCCGGGTCAACTCTCAAAATAACTGGACAAGTGCCTAATTCTAAGTCAATGATTATTCAAGTTTGAGTCTTGACATAGTCAACTATTCTGTTATTCCATGTCTAACAGTTTCTAATGTAGAAATCTGATGAACCTTCCTTGACTTCCCAAAATTGTTTAATGGGCTTCAGATTGCAGCTTGGGATGCGAATCTTGTTACTCCACATAAACGGATGGGGAATTCCGAAGTCGACCTGGAATGCATTTGTGATGGTGAGAATTAGTTCAGCCATTCATTACCATTTTACTTAATCTATAATTTTGTGTTTAACATTAGGAGAAAGAAATGTTTTATTGTTGGGATAGTTCTTAATATGCATCCAGTTTCTCTGTGAGTCTGCTGGAGAGCCCAGAATTTTAATGTACACTAAGAAAGATTAAGATTACGAGACGCGTGGTATAATGAAATCTAGAGATATATTCAACCACTTGGCGGGATGTTGGTGTGATAAACGCCACCACAATGTAGTACGTTAGACTCAATCAAACTGAAAACTTATACAGTAACGAAGAATATGGTTTTCGGGAAATACCTCTTGTTTCTTAGGCTATGAAAACCTGCATATTGTTTGACTAGATTAATGAACTATGGATCGGTTATACACAAATAAGGATACATCTGATGAACCTACTGCACGTCTTACTTGCGACTTCTGTCTCTAATTTGTACTTTATCTTTTTTCGCTTCCCAAGGAAACTTGCACGAGGTGCTAGTAGAACTCGACGGAATTGGAGGTGGTGGGAAAGTTCAACTGGAGGTCAGTTAAAATGTACGTCTTTCTTATGTTCCATGGATTCACATGTATGTATATGCTAAACCTTAGTTTGGTATTTTTCGTTACTGTATTTAAACCTTCAGATTAGGTACAAGGGATTTGAGGACATTGAAGAAGAAAAGAAGTGGTGGAAGTTCCCGTTTATTTCAGAATTCTTTCAAAGAAATGAAATTGAGTCAACTTTGAGAAATCTTGTTGACTCGGACGCTGTACCAGCACGTCAATTTGTAGAGTATGCCTTTGGACAGTTAAAGTCACTCAATGATGCTCCCCTTAAGAATATTGAACTACGAGACAATAATATGGACGGCTCTGAAGGTGACGAAAACTCTAATCATCGTTCTCCAGAGGTAGATGTGCTTTCTGATGAGACTAGTTCAGAGGATTCATTGGAGCAGAATTGTGATAGCGAAGATAAAGAAGGTGATAGTGATGGCAGCATAGCGTCAGAAAGTAACTTCTGGGATAACTTTCCTGACATAATTAGTCAGAATATCGTCCAGAAACTTGGCCTTCCTTCACCTGAGAAATTTAAGTGGGATGGAATGGAAATACTGCCTGAGAAATTTAAGTGGGATGGAATGGAAATACTGGAAAAATTTGGTGTACAATCACGAAAAACTGCAGAAGCAGCTTACATTGAATCAGGGCTTGCCACTGCTGATACTCGAAAAGGTGATGATGAAAAGGAAGAAGACCAGCTCGCTATTAATGCGTCCAAGTCTTCCCTTGCAGACATGAAAAATGCGACACAAGAATTGCTTAAGCAGGCTGATAATATCTTTGGTGCATTGATGGTTTTAAAAGCAGTAGTGCCTCAATTAAGTAAGGACAGTCCTGGTACACAGAAGGTCATAGAGAAAGATGGTGCTTCCAGTGTCACTGGAGATGTCTCTAGTTTCTCTAAGAGGGAAAAACTCTCTGGTCTAGTGAATATTGAAGGAGCGGATGAAAAGAACGCTGAGGAAATGAAAACACTATTTTCTAGTGCAGAAAGTGCCATGGAGGCATGGGCAATGCTTGCCACTGCCCTGGGGCATCCAAGCTTTATCAAATCTGAATTTGAAAAGTTATGTTTTCTAGACAACGACAGTACTGACACACAGGTGAAAACTCTTTTGTTTGGGAACAAGTAATTTCAGGGATTACGAATCCTTTCCTGAAAATACAAGTTCACGTTCATAAGTGATAGACTAATTTGCAAGCTGCAGGTGGCAATTTGGCGTGATGCAAGGAGGAAAAGAGTAGTTATCGCTTTTAGAGGAACTGAGCAGGTCGGTATTTATTTATACCTTCTTAACATTCTGTGGTTGATTTTTCTCTTTCAGTTCTTACTGTCAATATTTCATATTTTGTCAGACAAAGTGGAAAGATTTGCAGACTGATTTGATGCTAGTTCCTGTTGGGTTAGTACTGTGTATCTATTCTCTCTAAATTGATTCAGAAGTACTTACATTTGAAGTTTTAATAAGTTATTATTCATCCTTTTGCTCAACATTTTTAAATCTATTGTAGTCTGAACCCTGAACGAATTGGTGGGGACTTCAAGCAAGAAGTACAGGTATGTTTGGAACTCGGGCATTGGTCAGGTGTACCCATTATTGAGTTATTCTTTGATGCTGCTATGGATTTTACAGGTTCATAGTGGATTTCTGAGTGCATACGATTCTGTAAGGATAAGGATAATATCAATGCTCAAAATGGCAATTGGCTACATGTAGGTGCTTCCTGTGCTTCATTTTATTTTCTTTTTGTCGGGGAGGATTTCCTTACCTCTAGTTTCAGTGGTTGGATCCTCATTGTTGAAAGGGCCATACTCTTTCTTCTTCGAGTATTTCGTTATAGATAAATTTTATTTTAATTTGCTCAGGACAGTATAATATATTGATTTGACTTTTACGATTTCGAGTAGTGTGAAAATTTAGACATCTTTTCTGAAGTATATGTTTTCTCTCCTCCTGATAGAGACGATGTTGCTGAGCGTGAAGATAAATGGCATGTTTATGTGACTGGCCATAGTTTGGGTGGTGCATTAGCTACACTCTTGGCTATCGAACTTGCGTCAAGCCAATTAGCTAAGTAAGTGAGTTGAGACTCCCTTCTCATACATCATTCTGATGACACGCAGTTTGATGGGCATTTACCAACATGATTTTTGAATGCTTATTAGACGTGGAGAAATCACTGTTACTATGTACAATTTTGGTTCTCCAAGAGTCGGCAACAAAAAATTTGCTGAAGTTTATAATCAGGTCTTGCTGCTTCTAACCGAACAAGTTTTAATTGACGAGAGGAGTGAGATGGCACGTGGTCATAAAATCTCATTGGTTTATACGTTTTTCACTATGTATTTTTCGCAGAAAGTAAAAGACAGCTGGAGAGTTGTAAACCATAGAGACATAATTCCCACGGTCCCTCGCTTAATGGGTTATTGTCATGTTGCTCACCCTGTTTATCTTGCTGCTGGAGAAGTGGTAAGCCCACCTTTGATTGCACATTTTTTATCCACGCGGTTCATTATTTCTATGCGAATGATATGATTCATGCTCCTCGTTGTGTTGCTTATTGTCACTGGAAACAATATTCTGCTTAGTCTTTGATTTAGCAAACTTTCCTTTGTTTGATTCTGTCTAGGGTAAGTATGTAACCTGAAAATTTGATAAAATTGTGTATAACGTTTCTTTGAATGGGACAACTTTTTATACGTTATTCTGCAATATGAGCTCTGTAAGTTATATAATATACTTTCCAGCATAAGGTGGTTAAACAATCAGAACTACTGATGAGTGATGTAATGTTGCAGGAAAGTATGGAGTTCCAGAAAGATGGTTATCATGGTGAGGTGATTGGAGAAGCGACTCCTGATATTCTTGTTAGTAGATTTGTAAGTCCTCTAACACCCAACTTGTTTGTGGTTTCTTCACATATTTTTTTATCACCATTTTAGTTTTATTTTTCCTACTTGTATTTCTCATAGATCCTAGTCTACATATGTTTGTTACTAGGTTTATTTGTTTCTGTAGCTAACAATTTAATACGTAGCAGGAAAAAGAGATCGTCTGAACTGACTTCTACGTCTTAGTTACTGTTCCTACTATTGTCATATTATTGTAGGTTCATTGTAGGTTCACATTTACTAGCAGCAGCCATTTGGTTCTGTTGGCTTCATATGCACGTGTGGCACCAACAATCATTTATTAATCTATTCATTCTTGTTTACCTGCTGCATTGAAATTTACATTCTATTAATCTCTTATGGGAATTAGAAGGTTATAGATATGCGTATTCTTCAGAAGATGTAGAGAGGCTTGCTAGAAATCTTGTGAGAAATATTACTTGAAGAATAAAATGAATGATACCTTGACGTGAGATTAAATGGATGTTATCTATCAGATGAAAGGTGAGAAGGAACTTGTTGAAAAGATACTTCAAACTGAAATAAAAATATTCAACGCAATTCGTGATGGGAGTGCCCTTATGCAGCACATGGAGGATTTTTATTACATCACACTCTTAGAGGTATGTTATCGGTACCTACTTAAGCAATTTCTGATAACTGATAAGTAGGCAGAAAATAGTGAGTAGCTCCTACCAGTTCATACGGCTTTTTTTTTGCTCCAGAATTACACTGACTTAAATTATGGAAGATACAATCTCTCACAGGATAGTAAAATTTGAACAGCACCAACCCTTTTTTTGGGCGGAGCATGTGTTGGTTTAAGCCTCTCAATCTTATTGGATTCAACTTTGTTGGTATTCTTTTCAGAGTGTGAAATTATATTACAAAAATGTTGAAGATCTGGAAGGCGTTGAAAAGACTAATATCTGATCAGTGTAAACGAGCTAAGGCCGTGAGAGCGCATGTACTGGCTCGCTCCAGCTATATAGGATTCACACTGTATACCATTTTCAAGAGAGACAAGCATCCACCGAGTTGCGATTATTTTCCCGTTTGACTACGAAGATAAGGAATACTGTGTACCAAAATGTAATTATTTGAAAGCGACCCGTGGTTCAGTCCTGTAAACTTAAACATAGACACGATATCCAAAGGGAACAAGAAAGATTGAACTATTTGAAGTGTATAGATAGATAGTCAGTGATCTCTTTTGTTATTTACTCTTCTTTTATGCTCCAGAACTGCTCCTTGAACTAACATGATACTCTCAGTGCATGCTCCATTGCTCAGGGAAACCGTTCAGGGAATATTATTTGCGGTTACAAGGATTGTAGCCATCTTGGTTCTCGGCTCTCAGCTCCCAGCTAGCTAGTTCCAGCATGATCTGCATCTGTGAGCTTTTCTAGGGAGCAGCTACGGGAGAAGTAAGTTATCATCTAAATCCTTAAGTTTTCGCTTGTTTTGGAACTTTTTCGAGTTTAATGCAGTTCTTAGTTCCTCATCCTAAGTCAGAAAAATACACTGGTTTATCATCTGATATTATTCACCGTGTTTTTAGCCATCAGATTGTATCAATACTGGATATAGTATTTGTGAAGTATATGCATCTTTCTTTAGCATCATGAGACCGGAAAGAAATGGCTTACAATGTCTTGAAACGTACGGAGTCTTCTTAAACAGCAATCCCTGTGGGAAAGTAATTTGATACGACTAAAAACTGTTATTTACAGGCGATGAATTTTGTTTTGAATATTGGCAGGTTTCTGGTAGCAGACGACGGTGCCTTGTTCTTCCCGTTGCTACTGCCGAGGATGCGCAGACTTTGTCTCAGTAAGTCAATCTCTCTTTCCTTCCCGTTTCGTTGTTTCTCCATTAAAGCTATTCTCCCTTTGAGTGTTTCAATGGTGTCTTCCTTAACTTTAACTTCCTTCCTAAGTTCTTGCACTGTGTTTGCTCCTTCTTGGGGTTTGTGTTGCAGTGTCTCTCCTACAAAAACTCATTACTTTCCCTTCTCTTTAAAAAAACACAAAATCAAAGTTAATTGGGGAATGTTTTTTTTTTTTACCATATGTTGTTTGGATGAGATCGTCGAGCTCATTCTTGATAGCGAAATAGAGCTGTTTCCACTTTTCCACTGCTTCTTCCCTCACTGCTCTCTCTAAACACATCTGTTCCATGACCCATTCCCACTCGTGTTGTTTCGGTTTTGCT